GGACGTGAAGTGCTCGCTGCTGGGTAACTCGTTCTCGGTTCCGGTGCTTGCCCTCCTCGTGGGAAGGGTTCGGTGGCCGCAGATCCGCCAATTGTCGCCGAGTGCTTGAGCGCCCCTCTAGGGGGAGGGAATCTGCGCCTGGAGACGCTGCTGGACGCGCCCGCTGATGCAGCGACCCCCGATCACGTGCACCGCGCCTTTTGCGAGTCACTTGCGCGGAACGCCATCGTCAAGGGCAGCGACGCGCGCGCCGCAACGGGCGGCCGGCTTCATCCCTCGGGAGGGCCGAGGAGGGGCATTTGGGCGGATCGATGGCTGTGGAAGACCTGCCGTGGGTTCAGGCACAGTGGCTCGCACATTCATGTCTTGGAGCTGCAAGCCCTCTTGACTGCAGTGTGCTGGCGGATGCGAGGCCGCGCCATCGTTGGCGCGACATTCGTTCACTTTTGCGGCTCACAGGTCTCCACCGCTGTTGCCTGCAAGGGTAGGTCGCCGTCAAAGAAGCTCCACTCGATCCTCATGCGCTTGAACGCGCTCCTGCATGCCACGTTCAGTCACCCATTTGGGGCATATGTAAGGTCGGAGCTGAATCCAGCCGACGCCCCGAGCAGATGGCGGCAGCCATAGTGCTCAGTGGCGGGACGAGGCAGCAGAGAGGACAGGATCGAAGAGAAGATGGGGCCCTGAGATCGTTGCAGCTCCAGACGCGCACTGTCTAGCGGTACTTGGAGGCCACGCGCGCCTTTTTCCAGTGGCCGTTGCGCCCTGGCGAGCCCCTGCCAGTCTCCATTCCAGCCGCCGACGAAATTTTAGGATAATGCCTTGAATATTGTTGGGCGGCTGGAGAGCCAAAGTCTTCGGTGGGAGACGCTCTTTCAGGGCTCAAATATTTTGCGCCAAGCTGGCGCAGAGGTCTCATTGATTCATGGAGACTGTCCGGCACCTGGTTGAGGACCGAAATCCCCTCGCGTGCGCGGCCGCCATTGCCTGGTCATGCCCTGGCGATGGTAGGCTTCGCTCTCTCGAAGGGAGACAAGGCGACGGCGGCAGGGGTGTTGCTGTGCTTCAACGGGCCCCTGCGCCCAGTGGAGGCCATGCTGAAATGCGGGCAGTGCACTTTTGATTCAGACCGTGGCGTCGCGCACCTGAACCTCGGGTACACTACAGGAGGTAAGAGATCAGGCATGGCCGAGCATGTTGTCATATACGAGCTTGAGGCAGTTGTGCTCCTTGCTGAGCTACTGCAAGGTCGCCCTGCTGGTGCCCACCATTTCCCCCGCGGGACTGGCGGCTTCCGCCATGCCTTCAGGAAACTGGCCACCCGCATCGGTGCTGACCCTGACAGGTACAGACCGCAGTCCCTATGCCGGGGAGGACCACCCATCACTTCAAAGTCCGGGGAAGTTTCCAAGACATATATTCGCGGCCGCTGGAGGCGCCAGCCCACAGCGCGAACGTGGACATGCTGGAGCGCCACGGCCTCAGTGCAAAGGAGCGGGGGTTAATGGCGAAGGGTAAGTCTTTGCTACGCCGTCGTCTCTGATGCCCGAGCCCTCGGCCCTCGGACGCCCATCAGCTCCGCCAATTCAGCGGCGCGTGGATTTCGCGCGCGCTGGGAGAGCATGGAAGGGCGCGCGCCTGAGAAGCAGCGGCCAGCCTCGCTCTAGGGCGCCCTGCTCCAGTCAGACCCATCCGCCTCCTGCGCCCAAGGCGGTGATCCCGACTGGTGTCGGAGGGGGGCGAGGGCGGCTCGCCTGGGTGCATTCTTGCGCCGGGGTTCTGAGAGGCCCGCCACGGCATCGCCAAGGTGCTGGCTGCCGCGCGGCCTTATGAAAGTCGCGCGGCTCGCCTCTCTCAGGAGCGAGGAGAGGAGGGGGATGAGCACTAGTCCATCACCTGCGAGTGTTCGTGCGACCTCCATCCTCGACCCTCGCAACTGCAGTTTTTTGGGCCACCGACCCCGCCCAGCAACGCAAACGCCCCGAGATGCTTCGAGAAGTCTGCGCAGGAGCTCTCGCCCCCGCAGGGGGGAGACAGACGAAGGCGCGCGCCTGAGAAGCAGCGGCCAGCCTCGCTCTAGGGCGCCCTGCTCCAGGCAGACCCATCCGCCTCCTGCGCCCAAGGTGGTGCTCCCGACTGGTGCCGGAGGGGGGCGAGGGCGGTTCGCCCGGGCGCATTCTTGCGCCCGGGTTTTGAGAGGCCCGCCGCAACATCACCGAGGTGCTGGCTGCCGCGCGGCCTTATAAAAGTCGCGCGACTTGCCTCTCTCAGGAGCGAGGAGAGGAGGGGGATGAGCACTATTATTTTTCGTGCGCAGCCGCTGCGGGGTGGTAGCCACTCGGCGAGGGTTCCTGGTCGAGGGTTCGCGCTCCCTTCCTTTCTCAACCTCGCGTGCACCCGCGCCATGATCTGCAGCTGCGACAGGGGCGCAGCAACGCGCGCTCTTGTGTGTGAGTGTGTGTGAGTGTGTGAGTGCGTGAGTGTGTGAGTGTGTGTGTGTGTGCGTGTGTGTGCGTGTGTGTGTGTGTGTGTGTGTGTGTGTGTGTGTGTGTGTGTGTGTGTGTTTGCGTGTGCGCATGTCTCCCGCCCCTTCCCCCCCTCTGCGCCCCACGTAGCTGCAGTCGGGTGGCCTCGTGGGCTGGCAGGCGCTCACCGAAGGTGATTTGGATCGCCCGTGTGGCTCTTCTCCCTGGCCGCGTGCACTCGAAAACTGTGCGCAAGAGAGGTGCAAACTTCACATTCCATCTGAGTCAGACCAAGATGTTCATGCGCATGCGCCCGGGGACCACTGCATCTCTTGGCAGACGAGCTCCTCATGGACCCACCATTCGAGCGGGAGCTCCGTTTTCAAAGGGACCGCGTCGTGTCGTTCGAGGTGTGGGAAATGTGAAGACCGTGGCTTGTACATGTTCAGCAGCTGTCCAGCTACAACCTCGTTTTGAAAAAGGAATCGCCCTCCATCTGTGCAATTGTTGCACAGCTGTAGTCGTGGTCATACAGAGCTGAGGGGGTCTCAAGCGAGAGCCACGTAATGCGCAGGCGCCGCCATCGAGAGTGGCAAATACTGCGTAACTGAATTCTGGCCGTGCAAGTAGAGATTTTTTTTTAACGGGAGTGGCCTCCCCTTGTATTGCTCATACGTAATTTCACAAAGGAGGCGTCTGTGAGTTCCGCTTTAGGCCAGAACCGCCTGTGACAACGACATCGCCTCCACCGGCGCACTTGTCGGAAACTTTTTAGCCTGTCGTGGATGCCGTGGGTACAAACAAGGGCGGCGCGTATTATACCCTCACCGTCGCAGGCACACCACTCGTCTCTTGGAGCCCTCTGGGGGCGCTACTGGGGCCGTCTCAGGGCCTCTTGTGCCCCAGTTGGGGCTCTATTGGTCCATCTTGGAAGCATCTTGAGGCCTCAGAAGGCCATCGGAAGCGAGAAAACAAGAAAGCAACGAACACTGATTATCGTAATGTGTTGGAAGGTCGTTGACCTCTGTGGAGTGTCCTTGGAAGGGTTCCGTGACCACTTGCAGCCGTCTCTGGGCGGACGTGGGCCTTCTTGGAGGCATGTGATCCAGAGGCTATATTGAGCAATCACGAGATATGTTAAAATATATTGGAGGCCATCTTGGGCTATCTGAGGCAATCGTGGAGCGGCCTTGGGTCATGTTTGACACTTCAGCGGCCCGCCCCCTCGACACTCCGTCGAGACCCAGGGAGAGAGGGAACCTCCGAATGGGAAGAAGGAGGCTGCAATATCCAATTCGCAAACCACATTCGCCAACAGGGTTGGTGGGTTGTTGAACCATATTCGCTCTCTGCCCGTGTAAGTGATTTTATACAAGTTCAAATTTCAGAACCTTGTGTGGTGAAGAAGGCTCCGACGAATTTTAAGAAACGCCCTACCAATCCGTTTGATGGCACGACGCGCAGGAGCTCGTTTCCATTCAGAAAAGGGATTGAAGAGATGGAGGAGGGGGAGCATGAGGATGAGGAGGAAGGGTGAGGGTGGAGGAGCATGATGAGGGAGGGAGACAAGGTGGAGGAGGAGGAAGGGAGTGATCGGGGGGTAGGATGAGGAAGGAAGACGTGAAGGAGGGGGACGGGGGGACGCCGAGGTGGAGGGGGGGGGTGGGGGGAATCACGGGGCTTGAGTTCGCCCACGTGCGCTGGCCATCGGCTCCAACCCCTCCCCCCGCGGATGGCCGATGCTAGGGTCGGGGGCCTTGGTTCAGCGTGTCGCGCCGCCAATTCTGGCCCACCACGTTCTGGCGTCACGCTTTATCCACGTTCCAGCACACAAGCGTCCACGTCCCGAGCATTTCCCGGTCTCTCGCCCCGCGAAGCGGAGCGACACGCTATCCACTCGCAGGGCATAGCGTGTCGCCAGGGCCGCCGCCGCGACAGAGTAAGCAAAAGTTCCAGACCGTGAGTGGTAGGGCGCCAGGTTGTGGCTGGTCCTTGGGGGCCAGTTCGGGGCATTGGTGGGGTTTGGGTTGGCCCGGTAGAACGCAAAGCTCTGGGTCAGACCTCGCGAGCCAGCGGGAGGGAGGAAGGGGGAGGGGTGAGGGGGAGGAGGGAAGAGGGCAACGGGGTGTTGGAGTAGGGGGAGGACGAGGAGGAGGGGGGATGAAGATGTCCAAGGGGAGTAGGGCGGAGAGTGACGGGGCGCTGGAGGGGGATTGGGAGGATGGGGAGGATGGGGAGGACTGAAGGAGGTGACGAGATGAAGGAAGAGGTGGAAGAGAGAGGAGGGGTGGAAGAGGGGACGGTGAAGAGGATAGTGTGAACGAGGAGGAGGGAGGAGGAGGTGGATAGGAGGGGGGGGGAGTTGGAGGAGGGAGGGAGGGAGTGTGGGAGGGAGTGGGCGAGGAGGAGGAGCAGGAGGAGGAGGAGGGGGAGGAGGAGGGGGAGCTAGGAGGAGGAGCGAGTGAGGAACACCGAGCTGGGCCGCAGACCCCGAGACGCTCCCTTCTTGAGATCCGGCTCGTCGGCCGGCGGCAGGTCTTCTTCCAGGTCAACATAACTGCCCCGGAGGTGGGCGACCGCTTTCCGCGCGCCCCCCCGCCACAGGAGGATCATCGGATGTACGTATGTGACTTTTGGCCAGGGTGACTTTCGGTGCGGGCCCAATGGGCCCCCCGATCGCTGAACGCGGCGCGATAGCAGTGACTTGCGCGCCTGGTGGTTTACCCAAGGGCCCCCCCCTTGGGCCGCGCATCACAGGCCACTCTTGCCCAGGGGGTCACTCCTGCGCGTAGCTGGGATAACAACCCGCTTTGGGAATTGCCCAAGACAAGCGAACTTGGAATGCGCAGCCTCGCGTAGACTTGGTTGCTGAAAGGGTAGACTGGAGGCTGAAGTGCAAAAGGTCCTGTGCTATGGTTGACCCCTCCTGGAAGGTCTGGGAAGAAGGAAGGAGAGGACCAGAGTAAGCCCAAGATACATCAACGATGCTGCGACAAGCCCTCCAGCCCCAAGTCCTCCCCACAGGAGTCCTCACAGGCCTCGCCTGTCACTGCTTGGAGCGCCCCCTTGAACGACAGGGCCCCAGGGGCCCGCAGTTCAGGCGGGAGCTGCTTCCGTTAGCCTGGCGAAGGACCCAACCAGATGCATTTGTGAGTGCCACGGTTGTGAGTACAATCTCGTTTTTCGTAGAGTTTCCGATGGGGCCACGGTGGGAGTGTGCCGGGATTGGATAGGGAACCGCACGTGGCCGCACCCATTGAGGCCTCCCTCTGGGGCCACGAAGCGTGATAGGGGTGTGCCAAAATGGGCGCGGTCATGCATGCTTTCCCTGCCACTGGGGCTTTCGATGGAGCTCCTTATGGGGCCACACAGCGTGGTAGGGGTGTGCCGAAGTGGACGCGGTCACGCATGGGAGCCCTGCCACGTGGGCTTTCGGAGAAGTTTCCTATGGAGCCACGAAGCGTGTGAGGGTGTGTGCCAGAATTGGCGCGCTCACGCATGCTTGCCCTGCCGCTGGGGCATTCTGTCGAGCTCCCTATGGGGCCACGAAACGTGGGCGGACTCACGCCTCACGCATGCGAGCCCTGCCACCGGTGCCTTCGGTAGAGCCCCCTATGGGACCTCGAAGCGTGTGAGGGGGTTTACCAAAGTTGGCGGGGCCACGCATGCGACCCCTGCCAATAAGGCCTTCGGTGGAGCTCCCTATGAGCAACGCAACGTGTGAAAGGGTGTGCCGAAATGGGCGGGATCACGCATGCGAGCCCTGCTAGTGGGGCCTTCGGAGTAGCTCCCGATGGAGCCACGCAACGTGTTAGGGGTGTGCCGGAATTGGCGGGGTCATACATGCGAGCCCTGCCAATGATGCTTTTTGTGGAGCTCCCTATGGGGCCACGAGACGTGTGAGGGGTGTGCCAAAATGAGCGGGGTCACGCATGCAAGTCCTGCCACCAGGGCCTTCGGAGGAGCCCCCCCCCTAGGGGGCCTCGACGCGTGTCAAGAGCGTGTCAGGAGACGAAGTTGTTGATGATGATGGTTTGGATGAGGATGGGGATGAGGATGGCAATGAGACTGATGACGGTGATGATGACGATGCTGATATGTTGTAATGAGGGTGGCGATACTGATGATATTGGTGATGGCGATGGTGGTAATGACGGTGATGGTGATGAGCATGGTGTTTCGGTTGATGGTGATGATATGTTTTTGTTGTTGATGATGATGATGTTGATGCTGATGCTGATGATGATGATGATGTTGATGACGATGTTGATGATGAAGGTGGTGATGCCGCTTGATGCCGCTTCTGCTGTTGATGATGATGAGGTCGTTGGGGATGCTGTGCATGATGATGTTGATGACGATGAAGCTGGCGGCGGTGGATGATGATGATGATGGTGATGATGATGATGATGATGATGATGATGATGATGATGATGATGATGATGCAGATATGTTGATGATGCTGGGAACGACGATGCGGATGAATGTTACTACAATAATGACGATGATGATCATGTTGGTAATGAGGATGCTGAGGAGTATGATAATCATGGTGGTGCCGATGCTGGTTGTTATTATGATGCTGACGATGACGATGATGATACTGATTATGATGCTGATGGCGATGGTGGTGTTAATGTTAATGGCGATGGTGATGGTGAAGGCGACGATGCGGAGTGCGAAAACGACGTTGATAACGATTATGACGCTGATGATTCTGATGACCTTGATGGAGGTGATGATGGCGATGTGGACATGCACGGGGCAGAGGCAAGGACGGGCGGAGGATGGGGGGGAAGGAACGAGGGAGGAGGGACGCTGGGCGATGTGCGTTCGGGCCGAGGACCCAACGCCACAGGGTGCCTGGGAACACAGCGAATTGCCATCCATCCTTCTGGACACGTATGGGGAATGGCTGCGCAGTGCCTGGCATCAGGTGGCACATCTAGTACTACTAGTACCACTAATATTACTAGTGTTACCACTACTACTACTACTACTACTACTACTACTACTACTACTACTACTACTACTA